TAGTCTATTCTACTCATCCTTAAATGTTCAACTCTTGTAGAAACTCTTTAAAGAGTTTCTTATAATCCTGCTTGTCTTCTCAAAGTCTGTAACACTTTTTACTGGCCAAATTACACCTGCTATTGGTGCCTTAGGTATTTGTGTGTGTATATATCACCTCTCACGCAATAGGTCGTGATGACTTGGAAGAGAGGAGTTGTGCCTTCTGTTATTATCCCTGTGCCTCACACATGGTAGGTGCTCAAAAGCCATTGTGAAATTTTATAAAGCTCTTCTTCTCTATATTCCTCTATTTATTATACCTCGCTATACCTCAAAGTCTACTAGTTTGAGGTACACCTTTGAATAGACCCTTATCTAGAGACCTGGGGCAGCAAATGAAAATCTGATCAGACTCCTGTTCTAATACTGTCTCCAACTCCACTCTGGGCTTCTTTATTAAAATAGATAGCACTGTTTTCTATGGTTACTGAAAAGTGATAGAGAGGTTATTCAAATCCTCAGTGTTTTCTCGGGAACATGCCAGGGTGGGGAACACTGGGGAAGCTCTCATTCAGATCTGTTTCAGATCCAGAAAATCAAACTGATCAAACTCCTGCCTTCTCCCACTCTTGTCTCTCTCCTCACAATGTCCCAAGGCCTCAGGGTGCAGCATAGTCAGTATGTTTCTAGGGTGGAGGCCACCACAACAGATTAGCTCTGTTGAGACTGTAGTACTGACCAGTAAGTGATCAACGGCCCTGCCCTGGCTCTGGTCTAGCTGCTGATTTAGAGCCATGGACAAGGCTCAAGAAAAGTAATCAGGTTTGCCTTTTCTTGTCAGCTCATCTGTACATCCTAAGGCCAGAGAAGCCCACAATCCTGTTCTAAAGGAGCCAGAGGCAGTGATCAACAAGTAGCTTCTCCCCCACCTCAGGAATTTCACTCTTTTAAATAAAAAATCAATCCCTTTTTAACTTCTTCATGTATTCCATTTGAGCCTTGTAAATTTCAAAGGCATCTGTATTGTCATTTTACTGTATATGGATATGTACAAATCAATATTCTTATATGCAAATACATACACACACACACACACACACACACACACACACATATATATAGCAGTGAAAGAAAAGGCAGGATATTCTCTTCTTCCTTTGAATATTTTTTTAGTGCACAAATTTTATATTCTGCCTTTAAAGCTATTTCTGCTGCACAGCTGCTTTGCTGAGACTGAGACTCCTACGGGCCCCACTTGGTCCGACACGTACCTTGAATATCCTTTCACAGTGTTTGATTTCTGCAGTCGGTTGTATAATGAGGAAGGAGTATGCAGTGCGTTTGTAGATTCCTGTTAACCAGGTCACCCGTGAGTCTATTTTTGTGCACTTCTTTATTAAAAATAGCAGGGAACATGATAATATTTAAACACAACTACTTATAGGAGCCTAGCTTCAAAACTACCCCTAATAAGTCTTCTCCCACTTGGCATTTCAAAATGTTGTACTACATTTTCCCATCATCAAAGCATCTCTTCTCCATTTGCATTTTGGGGTGTGAATAAAGACCATTACAGATGACAATGGGTATTTTGGATAGTCCTAGGAATTCACAATTCTCTGCCCCATTTAGACCACATCTGTAGTGTTTCCTTTAGTTCAGGGGCCTGTGAATATGGCCCATCAGGAGACAGACAGACACCAAGATGGCGAGACAGGACAGGGAGTAGGAATAGATAGAAGAGAGCTATTTTCAAACACCCGAGGGATGATATCTCATGAAAAAAGAGAGCAGAATGGTTCTGTGCTGTACCCAAAGACAGAATCGCTGAGCAAAATCTATAGCAGGACAGATTTTGATTCAACCTAAAAATTACCTGACAGCTAGAGTTACCAGACTCTCTGGAACAGGTTGTCATATGAGATGATGAGTGTCCAGGCACGTCAACTATGGCACTGTAGGTTGATCAGGCTGTTTGCCAAGAAGGATGCTTCCAGAAAAACATGTCTGCTTCAGCTGTGAGAGTCAGTGGTCTTTACTATCCGGCATTACCATAGGTGCTGGGGGCATTGAAAAACCAGTGGTACTGTTGTTTGTTAGACACTATGAATCCTTTTAAACTACTTACTACAAATACCTTTACTATTTAAAAGGCTGTGGCAGCCAAAGCCCAGGCAGAAAGTGAGTTTGGAGTAGTTAAGGCAGGCATTTAGGAAGATGCTTTATTTATATGGTCCAGCTATTTAGAAAGTTTCAAAAATCTCTCAAAATGGACCACAATATTTCATTTTGTTGCTTTAATTAAGACTTAGTCACCCTCAGTTGAAGGCTTCAGAATTCTCTTCCAACATGGCTCAAGTCGGTCCTCCACACAAGACTCTCGCATGGTATACATAGAATCACAGACAAATCTGTACCAAAATCACAGTAGATCAACTAAAATCCCCATCAAAGCATTCAACCAGAACCTCACCCAGGTTATACTACCAAGCAAAAGCTTGCTTTAGAAATCCAGATTTGGTTTCAGAATCAAAGAGCTGGGCACCGAGTTCAGAAAAGATCAGAACGTGAGGAGGACTTAGAAGCAAGCCCGGACAAAGATCACCCCGTAGAGAAGGTTCAAAGTAGAAAAGATAGACAGTGTCATACCAGCTACACTTCCTCCCAATTATACACCCTCATCATGGCCTTGTGAAGAACCCACAACTTGGGATTAATTCCAGACAGCAACTTGCTAAGGAAATTGGGGTTCGAGCCAAGAGCCCAAATTCTGTTTCAAAATCAAAGATCTAGATTCATGTTCAGAGAAAAAGAGAACCTAATGAGCTTTTAGCACAGAAGCAAAACCAGGAATAAGCTCTTTGACATGGCAGAGTTCAAGGTACAGAAATTACCAGCAAATGCACTAATCTCATTGCAACTATCTAATCTCTCTGAAGCCAGAACAGAATCTCTGGAGCAAGAGACAAATCAGGGTGTTTGGTGCCATCAACCTGGGTTCCAAATCTCTCTCACTTTTCCTTGGAACATACCCTTCTACATATACGTTCAGCTTCTTTAGAAGCTGAGCATTCTAGGATGATAAGCAGGACTTCAGGAGGCAGACAGATACAAGGCACCACACACCCCTATTGATGGAGCCTGGCTCCACAGTTCAGCAGATGTCAAGGACCAGGAAAATAAACTTATTCATAGCGTTAATAACAGAAGTCTTGGCCAACATCAGTATATTATTAAAAGTGTGATAACAATCCATTTCAAGTGAAGAGAATTTCACAGTTTATATGGTACCTTCTTCTATATTTCTCCTTTTGATATTCACCACAATTCTCAAAGGAGTCATGGAAATTATGTTCTCAATTTTTATAGGAGGGAAAGTGAGACCTATGGGGCTTAGTGACTTATCCAACATCACACGGCTGGCAGGTAGCATTAGATCTGGGCTGGGTCTGGAGTACGGAAATTGGAACCTGCAAACTATATTTGTGTAAGCTGTATTTGTGGCCATGCCAATTATCAACAGTGTGACTTTGGACAGTCTCATAAGTAAAATGAGGGTGTTGGAATAAGATGAATTCCAAGGTGCTCCCCTATTATTTGAAATTCTTTTGAACCTCCATACCACATGTTGGCACAGTCTTTCTTTTTCACCTGGCAGGCAGGAGGTAAAATGAAGTAAAATTTGTGGATTGGAAGAAAACATTCAGATGCACTGGTGTGTGTTTCTATGGTAGTAACATTACACGTCAGTTGCTACGAGACACCTCTCTGCCAGATCACTTTTCACAAGCTTGAAACCCTTGGCTGCATTTTGATTTGGGGTTTGGAATTTGAGAATATGTTGACATGTACCTTTGTGGTATCAACTGTGGTTTGGAGTGGTGAAGGAGCCCTATGAATTTCAATAACCCTAAAGTAAAAGAGTCAGGAAGAATGGTGAGGACTTCATATTTTACAAGTTATAAGCTTGTAAGGAAAGTTATAGTTTGGTCTGACTTTATTTTTTAATTTGTAAAGTATCGCTATAAAACTCAAAATTAGATTTCATGTTGATTATAAGGCTCTTTACAAAGCTAATTTGTATTACATGTTCATTGTAGACCATTTAAATATAAAGAGTACTACACAGGCAATTGCATATAATATTCCAAAGACAACTGCTATTAAAATTTTGTTAAAACTTTCTGGAATGTTTTTTATGTATCTATAGGTATTCTAAATATTTATTTATTTATTTATTTATTTATTTATTTGAGAGTGGGGAAGGGAGGGAGAAAGAGAGGAAGAGAAACGTCAATGTGAGAAAGAAACACCATCAATTGTCTCTCATACTCACCCCGACTGGGGACCAGGCCTACAACCCAGGCATGTGCCCAGACCAGGAAATCAACTGGCAGTCTTTCACTTCGCTGGATGGTGCCCAACCAACTGAGCCACACCAGTCAGGGCTCTATAGATATTTTAAAAGAAATTTAGTATAATACTGTGCATATTGATTTATAAACCTTTTTTTGGTTGATAGTGCTGAACTTTTTATTTCACTAAATATTCCTTTTTAAAATGTATTTGATTTGAATTTAGATTCATATTCACCCAGTGTTCACCTGGCGTTCTAGTGTGTGAATGCATCAAGATTCATTTAACCTATTTCCTATTGTTGTGTGTATGAAGTGCTTACAATATTTTATTAACGTAAAGCCATATGTGAAAGTATTCTCTTCTATAATTTTTGACAGTGAGTGCATTAGATAGAAGGCTGATTTATCAAACACAGAAAATTAAACCTGGAGTTTTCTTATTACAGTACTAGCAATGCTACTGGGCATTTATGAGAAAGTTGTAAACTGTATACTCACTATGGTTAACTGAAAGCATGACTCCAAAGGTTTTGGGAGAGCTTCCCTACTGTTACCGTCATGGGATCTCTTACTGTGCGTTTTTTTTTTTCACACAGTTAATATCTTGCATAAACTCCAACACAGTGGACTCATTTCTCTTTTCTGTTGATTCTCCTTTAGCCTGATGAAGTCCTCCGATATCGATCAGGATTTATTTACAGACAGTTACTGCAAGGTGTGCAGTGCACAACTGATATCCGAATCTCAGCGTGTGGCCCATTACGAGGTAAGGACTGATTTCCCCCAAAGACTAGCATGCGTCGTGGCTGTGGGACTTGAGAATACCCCCTTCTGGAGTTGGGGCAGATTTTAAGAACTATAGGGCTTGAACCTTTGTCACATGAGCTCAGGCGAGGTGCAAATGCAGACGTGGGAGGTTGGGAGTGAGGGATGGGGATGCCATTCTCAGGACCTGGCTGCTTCTGAGATTCTGTTTTTTTCCTTTGTACCTCAGCCCCTGGAGACTCAGTGGGCTTTCTCTGCTTGTTAAATCTGTCATTGTTCATCCCCAAAGTTCTTTTCAGGGACACAAGGCAGGATGCATGAGTGCCAGCTTCTCTTTTCTTCAGTGACCCTGAAGGTGAGCTCAGAGGCCCTTTGTTCCTTACCACAGGGAAACGTGGCAGCGTTAGTGATTCAGTACCACGTTCCTTTCCCCTGGTGGCTGCCGCCCTAAATGTGTTCCCCTGTAGAACTCTAACAAGTTTTATAGCCCAAATGCTCTTCAAGGACAGAATTAGGAGGCTTTGGCTTTTCAGGGTGGAAGAACAAATGGCTGTCTTTAGACTCTCTGTTGAGAAGAAAGGATGAGAGAAAAGAGGTTGGCTAGTATCTGAGGAGGGAACAAGGTGGCAGGCATGAAGAAAAGGGAAAGCTGTGGTCCCCAGATGCCTAATGTTGCCCAGGGCGTGTTTGCTTGTTCAGGAGAACATTTACTAGTGGGAACATGAGGGCTTTATTTTATTTTATTTATTTATTTTTTAAGATTTGGAGCCCAGGTTGATGGCGTCAAATACCCTGATTTGTCTCTTGCTCCATTCCGTTCTGGCTTCAGAGAGATTAGACAGTTGTAATGAGATTAGTGCATTTGCTCATAGTTTCTGTACCTTGAACTTTGTCATGTCAAATATCTTGTTCCTTTATTTATTTTTATAGACAGAGGGAAAGGGAAGGAGAAAGAGAGGGAGAAAAACTTTTATGTGTGGTTGCCTCTCATGCGCCCCCTACTGGGTAACCTGGTCTGTAACCCAGGCATGTGCCCTGACTGGGAATTGAACTGGCCACCCTTTGGTTCATAGGCCTGTGCTCAATCCACTGAGTTATACCAGCTAGGGCCTTTTTTGTTGTTGTTTTTAATTAAATTTATTGGGGTGACACTGGTTAATAAGATTATTTAAGTTTCAAGTGTGCATTTCTATGATACATGATCTATGTATTGCATTGTGTGCCTAAGTCAAAGTCAAATCACCTTCCTTTGCCATATATCTGACCTCCTTTACCCTTCACTATTCCCCATCTCCCTTCCCTGTGGTAACTACCATACTGTTGTCAGTGTCTATGAGTTTCAATTTTATATCCCAAATATGAATGATATCATATGGTTGTTAGCCATTTCTGACAGACTTAATTTGCTTAGCACAACATTCTCAAGATTGATCCATGTTTTCTCAAATGGCAGTATTTCATCTCTTCTTATGGCCGAGTAGTATTTCATTGTATGTGTGTATCACATCTTTATCTAATCCTCCACTGAAGAACACTTTGGTTGTTTCCATGTCAAAATGAATAACGATGCAATGAGTATAGGGGTGCATATGTCTTTGTGAATAAATGTTTCCAAGGTTTTCAGGTACATACCCAAAAGAGGGAAAACTGAGTCATATGGTAACTCTGTTTTTAAGTTTTTGAGAAACCTCCATGCTTTTTCTATAGTGGTTGTACCAGTTTACATTTCCACTCCTAGTGAATGAGGATTCTTTTTTCTCCACAACCTCTCCAACACTTGTTATCACTTGTCGCATTGATAGCAGCCATTCTGACAGGTGTGAGGTGGTATCTCATTGTGGTTTTGATTTGCATTTCTCTAATAGGTAGTGGAGGTGAACACCTTTTCATATGTCTGTTACCATTTGTATGTCTTCTTGGGAAAAGTGTCTGTTCAGGTCCTCAGTCCCTTTTTTAATTGGATTGTCTGTCTGGCATTGAGTTGTATGAGTTCTTTATATACTTTGGATATTAACCTCTTTGTTAGAGATATTGTTTGAAAATATCTTCTCCCATGTGATTGGTTGCCTTTGTGTTTTGTTGGTGATTTCTTTCTCTGGGCAGAAGTTTTTTAGTCTGATATAGTTTCATTCATTTATATTTGCCTTTACTTTCCTTGCCTTTGGGGTCAAATTAAAAAAAATGGTCTCTACAACCAAAGTCTATGAATTTAGTACCTATGTTTTCTTCTCTGTAATTTATTGTTTCAGATACTTTATTTAAGTCTTTGATCCATTTGGAATTAATTTTTGTACATGGGGATTAGCTGTAGTTTAGTTTTATTCTTTTGCAAGTGGCTTTCCAATTTTCCCAGCACCATTTAGTTTTCAACGGTAATAATTTGCAAGTAATTTTAGATTGGGGAGCTTAGCCAGCAATTTTCTTTTTGTCTGACGAGTCTGACAAATGCCAGTTGTCACTGTTACTCACAAAACTCCTCAGAGCCTCAGAGTCCTGCACGCGCAATGAAAACAATGATAATAACATGGGCACACCCAGAATCACAATGAACTGACCTGGTACCCCTCAGGGTTTTGTGATAGCCCAATGGGACCTATTGAAATGGTATTTGTGCAAATGCTTTGGGAGTTGTAAAGTGTGCCATACATGCAAAATTATATTGTTTTTCATTATTAACTCTGTTGTAGCAATATTTTGTGGAAGGCAAATGAAACTTGCTCTTCAGAGAAAACTAAAAAATCAGTATCTATGGAAAAAGCATATTCTTTTGTCAAGAAGCAATTGAATGTGAGCAGTAAATGTGAATTCTAAAGAATTATGTACTATGGAAGATATCCATCTTTTGAAATTAAAAACTCTCTAATTACTGTGGATATTGCTTTATAAACACATACGGTTTTCTTCGTTTGACTCCCCCAATTAAGGAAAATCAGGGAATTTGTCGTTGTTTTGATATTCCATAGCTTCCTATTAGTCCTTTATGTTCACCCTTTACTTGACTTTTTGTGCTCATTTTCAGTCCTTTTACTAGATTCTTGAGGACAGAGGGAGAATTTTATTCATTGGTCTTTCATAATTCCTGGAACAGTGCCTGTATATCATAGACACTCAGTTAGTGTTTGCTTATTAAAGTATCCTGGTGACAATGTCCAGCCCCACTTTGTTCTTACCTGAGCTAGGTAAGAAAAGAATTATCTGAAAATTGAAAACAACCAAGTTATTTTTTTAAACAAGAAAAGTCTTGGCTGCTCAAATAAGAATTTAGTTATTCGAACTCAAATTTTCTTGTCTTCACACTACTCTTGCTGTGGCACAACTTAATTGTTCAGAAGATTCATTGCATGTAGTGTAGGTGAGATAAAGAAAAGAAAGCAATGACAATAGATCTACAATGAACAATGCTGCACATCATTAAAACAACATTAAATGCATTCCTGTTAACCATGGATGGGAACTCTGAGTGACATTGCACCCCTGCTTTTAGGCAGAGGTGAGGCACTTTCTTCAGTGAGAATGACATGTGTGTGTGCAAAGGGCCCATGCAGGGCTGAGGCCACCTTGTGCAGTGAAGCTGGTCTTCCAGCTGGTCTTCCAGCTTCAGTTAAGAGGCTCCCCCAGTACTTCTTTTTTTAAAAGATTTTATTTATTTATCTTTAGAGGAGAAGGGAAGGAGGGAGAGGGAGAAAATTATCAATGTATGGTTGCCTCTTGTGTATCCCCTGCTGGGAACTGGCCTGCAACCCAGGCATGTGCCCTGACTGGGAATTGAACTGCAATCCTTTGGTTTGTAGACCTGCACTCGATCCACTGAGCTATACCAGCCATGCTCCCCCAGTACTTCTTCATCTCCAAAAGGATGGCTTCTGTCAGATGATCTCTATATGCCATTTGAGAATTGACACTCTGACTCTATTAATCTCTCCCCTCCCTCCACCACATCCTCTCTGCTGAAATTGCATATACAGTGAGTCTCTATGAGTCCAAAGTCCCACTCAAATCATTGAACATGTTGTCATACTTATTCTCAATGCTCTATCACTGATTTATTGCTTTCGTATAATTTCACTCTTCAGTTCAACCAGATAATATTCTCGGCTTCCCTATGGAGCAAATCACTGACAAGCCAGTTTACTTTTTGCATGTCCAGAACTATTAATGCTAGTTATTACAGGGGGTTTTGAAGCTGCATGAGAAATAGTCTCTGCCCCCAAGAAGCTTATAAACTTCATTGGAAGAAAAAGCTACAAGTAGCTCAGTGTGGTGTAAATGTGTGTATGATACTGAGAACATAATCTGTAGAATTCTTCTACCTGCTCTTACGGAGCTGCTGATCTCCTTTGATATAAACAGAATGTTAGTTCTCCTGCCCATGTGGCTTTCTGATATATTCTGCGTTGTGCTGTTAGCTTTTCAGATATTTGCATATTCCAAATCAAAAAAGCATGTCATTACCAAGAGCTATTATGGTCAAGAAAGACGTTTGGGGAATATCATGAATTACTTTGGCCTCAATAGATGGGTTAGCTGTAAGATCGCTGGAATGAGAAGTCTTGGTATCTCCAAGAAGCACTGAGGAGGCCTGGCTGGCTAGACTGGAGGATTTGTGTAGGGAAGGGAGGGAGCAGTATCATGTGTAGGTAGCATGGGGTCAGGGCATAACGAGAAGGGGTATTTGGATTCTTGTGAATTTCATAGGTGTTTGGGAGCATAACAGTATAATTGAGAATTTCTGAGTGATAGTTCAATGGTTGTGGTCTAGGTGTATTGTGAAAAGAACAGCTTTTGATAAGATGTATGCCATCAACTAGTGTGCTAGTTTGCTGGAGCAGGAGAGAAAAACCTAGCAGATGGGTTATTGCCTAATAGCTGCATGCCCCATTTAAAAGGCTGAACCTTTGTATAGGAGGACAGAAAACTTAATATTTATCTAATGGACCAAACCCTTTCATGCTACGCTTATAAAACCTCCTTTTGCATGTGAAGTCCTAAGATTGAAAAAAA